CGCCTCCCACCCCCGCCACCCCTGCCCGACCCCCCCGCCCCCCGCTGCCAGCCCCGGCACTGGACTCTGGTCAGTCCCATCGCACCGCCCACGCAGCCCGGCCAGCCAGGAGCCGGGGCCACCCAGCTGCACCCTCCGCCCTGTCCCCCGGCCACCCAGGGGCTGGGGACACCTACCCTGGTGCTGCAGGGACTTCAGTCCCTGCTGGGCCTGGTTGTGCAGCTCCTCCAGGTGCGGGGGCCGTGTGCTGGGGAAGAAGACGTTGTCGGGACATTCCTCGCCCGCCGTGTACTGCACGCTCAGCCGCTTCTCAGCCTCGCCCTTGGCAGCGCCTGCGGAGATAGAGGGGTCAGCTTGGCTGGGGGGACACAGCCGCGCTCCCACCGATGCACCCCCACCCACAGGATGCAGCCCCAGCAAGCCGGGAGAGGCGCCAGGCAATGACAGCCAGCCCGGGATGACGTTATCCCGCTCATCCCCAAACCGGGCGCTGGAAGCGCCAGGCGAGAAATTATCTCCTGTGGCTCTGCCCGGCCGGTCGATACACCAGAGTCAGGCTGTCTCCACCACGAAGCTGCAGGGTTTTCTCCCCACTGGCCAGAGCAGAGCTGGGACACAGCACCACCCTCCCCCCCAGCACCTTCGTTAGGAGCAAATGAGGCAGCAAGCTGTGCCAGGCTGTGGGCAGCTGAGCAGAGAAAGGGCAGCATGGGGGGATTAAACGAGGACAGAAAGACGATGACTTTCCCTTTGGACGGTTGCATCATCCCCAGGCCGTGCAAAGCACCCAAGGAGCAGGGACTCAGCCCGTGCCCAAGCAGGCTGGGAACTGCACAGACGAGGGAAACTGAGGCACAGCCTGGCGCAGAGACCCCAGAGGACCCGAATCCCCCCTCCAAGCCTCCCAGGTGCTGGAGAACCCATGCCAGGGCAAGTACGGGGCCCTCCACGCCCCGTCTCGCAGCTCCCTGCCTGCAAACCATTGCGAGCACCCTGGGGTGCACACCACCCTTGCTGGGGGCTGTGCCTGGCATCGCCCGGCCAGGGCACCGCGGGCACAGCCCTGCCTGCTCCTGCCTGCACGCTGCTGCCTGCCGCGAAGGAAGCCTCAAACTCTTCCTGCCTGGAAAAAAACAACTTCAGGCTGAGGAAGGGAAGGGCGAGCACAGGAAAACGGCGGGGCTGGCGGCAGCACCCTGGGGACACGGGCACCTGCTGCTCAGCATTGCCGGTACCCTGCACCCATCCCCTGTCCCCCGTGTCCCCTGTCCCCTCCCAGCCAG